ATGCCACATCTCTCCATTCTGTCTAAATCTGGTTTTACAGCAGTGAGGACTCGTCCCTCCTGCCCCATGGCACCAGAGGCTTCTCACAGTAGCTGGTCTTCTCCTTTGAAGTGTGGTCCCTCTCCTTCTCCCTGAAGCCCTGTGTCTCTAATCCCCTCCCTGCTGCTTTCCCTCTCACTCCATAACTCATCCTACCGGATGCTGCAATTGGAGATTGGTTAAATGTTACAGTTTAGGGCCCGAAGCAAACATTCTAGAACCATCCCTCCTCTTCCCTGCACTGATTCATTAATTACTAAGTTAATCACTCTTCAGAGAGGCTTCTCTTCCCTGTGCTCTTCCTGTGGGCCCAGAGCTAAGCTTCCAAGGCACCCAGGGGGCTCTTCAGTGGGATTTCTGGTTTCCTACAAGCACCACCTCCTCCCCTTCCCTGGGCTCTGCAGATCTGTTTTCTGTATAAGTGAGTCTGACCGCTCCAATACCCATACTTTATATAAGAGGGGTCACATGATCACTGGTCTGGGTGGCTGGCTTATCTCACTTTGCATAATGTCCACATTCATATTATAGCATGTGTTGGTATCTTTCTTTTTAAGGCTGAATGATATGTTGGATGCTGTCTTGCCTCACTGCTGTGGCAGAAGGGCGGGGTCATTTCAGTCTGGGGCTATGGTCCTTCCCAGTGGAAAAGGCAGTAACAGGCTCCTGAGGTGGCGGCTGGTCACTTGGCATCGGCAGACAGGACACAGATGAAGCTGGTGCTTAGCTCTCTGTCTCCTCCAGCCATGGGATGGTGTTACCCACATCTTCCCTTAGCCACCCCAATCTAGAGAATCCCTCACAGGCATGCCCAGACACTTGTTTCCTAGGTATTTCTAGATACTGTCAAGTTGACAGCATTAACCATCACAAATGTCTGTTTTGATATCCCGTGGTCTTTACCTGAGGGGTCTCCATCTTCCAGCTACTGTGGACATGGCTGTATAAATATGGAGAAATAGCTCTGTGCCTTTCTTCAATCCTTTTGTTCTGTGTACAGATATGGGGACTGTAGTCACAAGCTCCCAAACACCATTCTACCCCCTAGGCCTCTCTAAGAACAATTCACATGAGCCATGACCCAGGAGAGAACAAACCCATATGTGATGGGGTCTCAGAGAAGCCCAGAGTCTACAGGTTTTTATAGGAATCAAGTTTTTTTTTTTTTTAAGAGACAGGGTTTCTCTGTATAGCCCTGGCTGTCCTGGAACTCTCTCTATAGACCATAGTTCGCTGGCCTCGAACTCAGAAATCCACCTGCCTCTGCCTCTGCCTCCCAAGTGCTGGGATTAAAGGCATGTGCCACCACTGTCTGGCAGAATCAAGAATTATTACAGCAGGGCTTAGTGGGACAACCAACTAGGAATACTGAAAATGCCAGGGCCCATGTGGCAGGAGACGGGAGACTCCTGGAAGTTTTCCTCTGACCCCTACACACATGTTGTAACATGTATACAGACAAACAGAGGATAAGTGCACGCGCGCACACACACACACACACACACACACACACACACACACACACACGCGCGCGCACACACACACACACACACACACACACACACTACTAATGCAATAAGAATAAACTAAAACAGTCTAGAGAGATGACTCGGTGGTTAAGAGCAATGGCTGCCTTTGTAGAAGACCCAGGTTAGATTCCAAGTACCCACATGGCAGCTCACAGTTGTCTGTAAGGCTAGTTCCAGGGGATCCAACATCCTTTTCTGGCCTCTGAGGGTACCAGGCACCCACACAGTACACATTCATTCATTCACTTAGGCAAAACATAAATATATAAACTTTAAAAAAACAAAACTAAAAGCTTCTGAGAATGATCATACTAATGCACGCATAAACACACAGGTTTACTGTTCCTGTCCAGTGAGTGCGTTCACATGGAAGGAATTACCTTTACGAAGCTTAGATTTTAGGAGATTCCGCTGAGCGTGTTTCCTTCTGTAGGTGCGTTTGTAGCCTGAATTGCTTCAGATCATTTGCTGAATGAAGCACCTCCACTCTGCATGCTCCCCCTCCCCCGGCTCGCAGGATCCACTTCCTATACCGGTCCCTCATAGGCTGATGGATGGGCACTGACGGCCAGGACAGCAAAGTCCGACTTTCAATTGCTTTTGTTCTTCAGTAACTTGAGGACAGTTCAGGGGCCAAAGGGAGATTCACATGTGTCTGGTGGGAAGGGCTCACTGTTTCTCGTCGGCTGTGCTGGCACGGGTTGCTCTGAAAGACTCGGGCAGATCCCTGACATCAAGGAGGGAAAAAATAATCCAGCTGTTTTCAGTTGACTCTGTTATCAGGTGAGCAAAGACTTGGATAAACTTCAGAGGTCAGCAAATCTGGCGTGTTAGGATGAACTGGGTGGGGGAGGGGCTCACATGTTTGTATGTGATGTTTGGGGATGGAGGTGGGGGGGAGAGAGCTCAGTCAGTAAAATGCTTGCTGTGCAGGTGGGAGACTCCACTGCATCCCCAGAACCCACAATAAACTAAGTCAGGGTGAAGATATGCACAGATAGTCCCAGGGCTGGAGAGAGCTGGAGCCCTGGGGGTTGGGGGGTTGCTGGCCAGCCCAGCTAAATGACCTAACCCTAAACCCATCCAGGCCAGTGAGGGACCCTGCCTCACACTCCACAAACTAGAAGGCACAAGAAGCACAGCAGATAGGGGTTGTCCTCTGGTCACCACACACATTACAGGTTACCCCCAAGTGTGACATCTGAGGTGACACCTGTTGAAGTCTTGTATGTGCCTAATTTTCAGGAAGCTCAGCTTCTGGCTTATTTGGAATCAGCCAGTGAAAGGCAGGCATGCTTCTCTGGCTCAGGTACATGTACTACTGTCTTCTCTGCTGTGACAGTTATTTCCTGTTTTGTTCCTCGGAGCAGGCCCCGTCTTGTACGTATCCCTAGAACGAGGTCCTGGTTTTAAGTTTCCAAATGAAAACTTCACATGCATCGAAAAGACGGACCTAGATTCCTTCCAATGTGTAACCTACAGTCTGTGCCATCATCACTGCCTGTGGCTGCCCCCTCACCTCCATATGGGATGCTAAGAGAACAGGCTGACTCCATTTCCAAGGATCCAGAGCTCCTTGGTGGTCTCCCAAGGCACAGACCGATAGCGGAGCTGGTGTAAAATCCTTCAGAAATTTCTCACAAGTGCATCCATGGTGAGGTGGCACAGCTGTCACCGTGGTCAAGAGGGACACAGAGGCTTGGCCAGATGGTTCACCTCCAAGGATATGGAGCTCTCTCCATTTGGCTGGAAGTACATAGTCAGCTCCCTAAGCTTCCTTCTCCAAACCAGAGAATGAACCGGTGCCTCTGTCTGAGGCTCAGCTCCGAGGCAGCTTCAGGAGTCTCAGGCTGGTATTTCACAAGGGCATGTGACTTATCCACACACTCTGCCACTATCAGGCGATTCTGTCTCCTACCGCCTCAGCATAGGAGCGCTGGGATTACAGATGCGTGCCACTGCATCCAATGGTCTGCTTGGGCTCCACAGAGCTCAGGGACTCAGGGATGAATGGCAAGTGCCGTTACCTGCTGAACCACCTCCTCAGCTGGCAGGCCCTCATGCTCACAGGTGGCCATCGCTCCAGCCTTAGGCTTTGCAGGTTAGAAGCTGTGGCTTCCTGAGTCTGACGCCCTCCCTGGTGAATGACTTGTAATCAAATTGCATTTTGGATGACTGGCAGGGCCCTGGGCTTCTTCTATCTCATTGATAACCGAGCAGCTGAGCAAAGCAGGCTTCCACTGCTGCCGTTCGATGGCAGCTTGTGTTTATAATAAGCCCTCTCCATAGTCCAGGGAAAAAAAACCCAATATGCTAATTACTTTCAACTGCCACATACTGGGAAGGTTTTCACACACAACTGTTCACCCAACAAGGTGAGAAACAAGCACCTACTTAATTATTCTGAAATCAAAGATATTTTCTTTATTGGCCTGATTCCAGTATCGGTTTGTAGGCGTTCTTCCTCATAGCAAGTTACCATGCGCACTTCAGAGGTGTCAGTAACCAGGCATGTTTGGCACAGTGCAAAGCTGTTCAAAACTACATGTACCACAGGGCCAGGAACTACACGGTCAGTTAGCCTGGCTAAATGGAAACATCACTTTTGAAGAGTAACGAACCAGTCAGTCACCTTGCCCCTGTGCTAGGCATGGCTCAGGACTTGAGGGGTGACTCTACTCTGGTCTTAGACAGATGAGGGAAGACTTAATCTCAAGAAGACACTGCTCTCTTGGGCCATGGTGATGCCTAAAGGTGGGATGGCTGGTTTTGGTTGGAGCCTTCATTTCCTCTAAGGTATGCTCACCCCACCTGCTCGGCTGCACTCTCACGATCAAAACTGCTCCAGATCAAGGACTTGGACTGGCTGTGCTCCAGGTCCTGGCCAGACACGTGGCTGTCATGGCTAAGCTTACAGACATGTGGTGCACGGTGAAGCTTCTGCTACTGTTTTGTTGTACAACTGCCTTACAAACAATTCTGAATTCCTGGAGTAAAATAGCAACTTATAAAATGAGTTGTGTGTGGTGGCATGAATCTTTGTGTCCAGGTCTCGGATGCTGAGGCAGGAGGAGTGAGCTCAGCTGAACCTGGGCTATAAGTGGTCCCCGGCTTAAAACCAACCAACTAAATAGTTTCCCACCCCAAAGGAAGCTTGAGCAAGTTTTCACCCCAAGTCCAAGTTTATAAAATGCTTATAAAATGGGGATCTCCAGACCCTTCCAAGGAGAGACAGATACTCTTGGGATCAAGGGGACTTGAAGCTGAGAGAATCGTGTGTGACATGTAGCAGTGAATCCTTAGCACTCTGAACCAGCAAGAGGCAACACGGCAGCTAACAGTTCTGAACACAGACCGGGGTCCAAAGTGACCAGCAATAAGCTCACAAATGACCCTGACATGTCACAGTCCACACACAGGGAACACTGCTTCTAACGTTGACTTCTTTTGAACATTTATTAAAAAAGCAAAATGTATGTTCATCTCAAATATAACAGTTAAAAATGGAGAAGCAATACAAACAACGTGTTAGCCAGCAGCATCCGGTCCTCAGCTCGCCCGCCTGCTTCAGTCAGGTCCGGGTGAGCTCAGTCACTGCTTGCCTGCCTCCCGCCTTACAGCTAGCGCAGGTGAAACGAAATCATATAAAATTAACAAGTTAGGGTTAAATAAGCTTAAATAAGAGTGTTAAATACAAGACACTTCATCGGAGGTTCTGTACAGAGAGAAACGGTCCGGTGTGGCACACAGGATCCTGCTGGCACTCAGCATCGGGGGCTCTAAGGGGAAGGGCAGACTGACTGCAGCAGAGCAACTAAGAGAAAGCAAACTATGCGGAAGTGACTACTGACAGGTCCAGCCGTTCACAAGGCATACGCATCTCTTTTTTTTTTTTTTTTTTTTTAAATCAGAACACTGTTAATATTCAGGCACCGTTTGTTCCTGCAAATAAATACGTCTCTACGGCAACAGCGTTCGTGCTAGTGTTAAACTTCAGGGCCTGTCTCTGACAGAGCTCTGCAGACTGCTTACTGCGCCCTTCTTATTGCTATGATAATGAGGAAATAAAACTACTGTACATCCAAAAAAATAGAGCACCTTTAACATTAAAGTACATGTCTGATTATCTGCCTCCATATTTATTTTACAATCCTACAGCCCTGCCACAGTCCTCTGGCTTAGCGTCCCAGCAGGTCACCTGCTTAGGTTCTCTCCCCACGGGAAGCAGAGACCAGCGCATCGCCAGGGAAACCACTCCGCTACAGGCTACGTTAGCATCCACCACCAGTTACATTCGCCTTCTGCTGCGGTACCCGGGAGTCCAGGCCCCTGACCCGCCTGCTGGGGTGAGTAGTGAGACAGACAGACAGTGAGACATCTACCTACAGGTGATGGAAAGCACATGTACAAACTGCATTGCTGACGTGGAAGGGACAACGGGTAGGCAGGGTGGCAGGCAGGCACGCCAACCAGCCCGTGGTCCCACGGTGAGGAGCAGCAAGCCGATCAGGCCTTTTTGTCAATGGTGCTAAAAAACCACTCGGTGAACTTGCGCAGCTGGGCTGTGGCCGTTTGTGACTCTTCCTGCAGACGCATGTTGTCCTGCCTCAGGTGCTGGACCTCGGCCTGCAGCACTGCCTTGTCCTGCTTCTCCTGTGGGGACCAGAGACAGATGGCGTTACAGGGCCGCTGGGCAGCTGCACCCACTGAGCTGCGCACGAGGGCCCCAGGGTCTTGCCTGGGTTTTGCTGCTCACAGGGACTGAGCCACCCCAGCTTCTTGGCTCCCCATTCTTGAGGAGGAGCTTGGAGCTGCTGTGAGGAAGGCTGTCGATCAGAGGTTACACTACCCCATGCCACCTGGAAGAGACAGCTAGGCTGGTGTGAACCCCTCCTGACTTGCAGGGTGTCTCCAGCTGCCTTCCTCTCTGCCTGAGACTGGGACCAGTGTGGCAGCTGCAATGCTAACTCTGGGACAATCACTTGGCCTCTCACGCCATCCTTCTGGTGCTGGCGTAGCTCCACGCTGGCCTTCAAAGTTTGCCTGTCAAGAGTACACACTAGGGCTTTCAAAAGAACTGCTTTGGGTGCTTCTACCATGAGAAATGCATGACAAGCTTCAGATCTCCAGAGCTGAGGGGCAGGAAAGTCACAGCAGCTACTGTTCCTAGTGGTTCACTGCTGTGCCACTCACTCAGCGGGCAAACAGGGGCTGAAGTGCTGGGAGCCCTTCCCTCCTCAGGGTGTTTACTTTTACCCTTCAATAGCCTCCCGGTTCCCCAACTCTTTTCCCTGTCCATGTGTCCTGTGTCTAAGACCTTATCAACACTAATGGACAATTCTACAGCCCAGTTCCTCTTCTCTCTCCAACCCACAGTGTGCCACACTTCAGCACTGATGCCACGGTCCCTTCTAGAGCAGTGTCATGTTTTTCCTTTCTAGCCCACTGCCACATCCTGTTTTCAAAGGAAGCTTCCTGGTGTCCACCCGCTACTGTCTTCTAAGCCCACCTGGATGATCACCTCCCACCACAGCTATTCCTGCCCCGCACTACCATGTCTTCCTTCCCAAGTGCTCCCGCAAGGAAGGATCTTGTGCTGGTACACACCTCCTCGGGCAGCTCACACTCTGTCCCCCCCCCCCCCCCCAGGGACTCATCAGGGGGTACACCACCCCTGATGTACTACATCAGGGGCTATTGAAGGGTAAAAGTAGACACCCTGGGGGGCACTTGTGTCTCAATTTGTCTCTTGATTTCTTATCTAGACCAAGTTAGTTAAACTCAACTGCCTCGGTGTCCATATCTGCAAAGGAGATAAAGCGGTGAGCTGTTGTCTGCTTGCCTGAGGCTCTGCTGGGTAAGAACAAAGTCCTAGGGCCTGGGAAACTTCTTAGCCCAGGCAGACTTGGGTAGGAGGTCTCTGAACTCAAGCGTGCGCACACACGCGCGCACACACACAGAGCTCTATCAGGATCACCTTAACATGAAGAGGAAAAACAAAGCCTTGTTGGCATCTCAGCTGAATATGCCTTCACAGCTTTCCCCTGCCCTTGATCTTAGCTCTAGTTCCTTAGCTGGTGGTGGGAGAGTGACCATCAGAGGAGTGTGTGTCAACACATGAGTGTGCATGTACACACAGACCCACGTGTGCTTAACAAACAGCAAAAGCTGTCCCAGTGCCCATTCTAAGTCAGCTCCTTCTCTGCACACTAGATAAGAACTTGACTCTTGTATAATTAATTCTCTTCATCAGTTC